ATACAAGCCAGAAGCCTTGGTGGAGTCCACATGGTGTTAGGTCTGCAGGCTCACAGAATGCCAGAGCTGTGAAGGCTTGAGAGCCTCCACCCTGATTTCAAAGGATGTATGGAAAAGTCTGGGGGTCCAGGAAGAGATCTGTCACAGGGGTGGAGTCACCACAGACAGCCTTTGCTAGAGCAATGCTGCGCATTGTTTTGTTTTCACAGATGGGACTTTGAACTTTGGACTTTTTGAGTCGAAACAAGTAAGACTTTGGGGATGAAAAAAATGTATTTGCATGTGAAAAAGACATGAGTTTTGGGAGGCCAGGGGCGGAATGTAGTGGACTGTCCCCCCAAAACTCACTGAAGCTTAAATTGTGTCCCCCAAGTTTTATGTATGAGAAACTTGGCCCCCACTGTGACTGTTAAGAGGCTGGGAAATCCTATTATGGTAATTGAAAGGTGGAGCCTTGAAGAGGTGATTGGATTGTAGAACTCTGCAGTAGTGAATGGATTAAGAATGATGGTGAGGGGCATGGTTCTGAGGGCTTTAAAAGAAGAGGAGAGTCTGTCTCTCTGCTTCCACCACCTTGCAATGTGAGACCCCTGGGTCACTGTTGTCACCACCAGATGGACTTTGAACTTTCCAGCCTCACAAACTGGAAGCAATAAATTTTGTTCTCTTTATAATTCACCTAGTTTTGTGTATTTTGTTATAAGCAACAGAAACAGACTAATACAATATGTATATGACAGTATTTTTTTCTAGTGATTTCAAAATGCAGTTTGAAATAAATATAATCACAGTTGATTTCCTTAAGTGCTGTAACTACTCACACAAGTACTCCAGAGCATGACTGCTGATCTTCCTTGATTACTGACGCTATCACCATGGACAAAATTCACTTTTTTTTTTTAACTATTCAGTCTCTTATTCTCTTTAAATTGGAAAAGATTGTAGTTCCTTTTTTCCAAGTTTTAGGCATTTTACCTTTTTATCTCTGACATATGAAGTTTTAAAAGAAATATAAAATTTAGTTATTCTTCTAGTACCAGATAAATTATCATTATCAGAATTATAGTTTCACAATCATAATCCCTATTCATTTGCATATTTGAGACGAAGGTGGGAGAAAAATAGATTCTTGGAAGCCTGAATAGTAACAAGTACAAAACATAGGGGAAAGTAAAGAAAATCCAAGTAAAACAAACAAAGATCTGTGTTATTGCCCTTATTAATATCCTAGAAGGAAAAAAATCTGAAAAAACTTAAAGCAATCTAATAATCTGCCATCCCTTCCCTTTCTGTCAAATGAAAGTGCAGCAAATTAAAATGTACTGATTGAAAAGGAGAAAGGATTATGCTTTTAAAACTTGAGTTTTGATGAAAAACATTTAAGAAAGCTTATTTCCTTTTCTCAAAGCCCATTCCAATTTATCAGTTTATAATGTTCAATAAAAAAATGTATTAGAAAATTATAGTTCAAATGGCCTAAATACTGGGTGAGAAACTTCCACATTTACATTTACTTTGCTTAGGTAGCAAACTGCTACTTGGCAGGACCTTGCCACAAATGAAGAGTCAGCAAAATGTCACACACACTCTTGGTAATTTGCTCGTAACTATGTGTCTTGCCTGGTAATGAGGAGTCTGACTGATCTATAACTCACTTTTTATTTTTATTTATTTATTTATTTTTCTTTTTGTCTTTTTTCGTGTCCGGCAACAGATCGCAACCCTCAGTGTCGCGCCCGTACCGGACCGGGACCGGCAACGGGATCGCAACCCTCGGTGTCGCGCCCGCACCTCGCTCAGCCAGTGAGCGGGAACCGGTCTGTATGTGGGATCCGAACCCTCGGCGGGAGCGCTGCCGCACTCCCAAGCAGCGCACTGTAGCAGTGCGCCACCGGGCCGGCCCTATAACTCACTTTTTAAAGGAAGGTGGACAGGGGAAATAGAAGAAGGGAGGGTTACCATACTAAAGTTCAACAATATTTCTTCAGAGCCAAGAATAAGGTAGCAGAGGTATAAAAAAACTGTCTGATCTATAGGGAGTCCTGGGGTATAAAGTTAATTTCTGCATGACCTGAGAGATTACTAAACTGATGACTACTGCTGTTAGCTACAAGTTGCCCTTTTCATCCTTTTTTAAATGATGGCATAATATACAACAGTTTTGAAGAGCAGGAAAAAAAGATTAGAGGATTAGGGTCTTTGCATTTGTTTACTTACACTAGGTTAGAAATTTAATCATTATAAATATATACATGTGAAACCTTTTGGAAATGCTTGAAGGAATGCTCTTAATAAGACAGGCAGTTCATTCCAAGAAATACATTAGATTCAGTATACTGTACCTGGCCAAAGGGAAGTATTATTGAAACTACTTATCCATAAAGATAAGATTTAAAAATATAGGTATATTTAAAAAAAATGCTTACAACTGGGTTCCAATGCTAATTAATAATAGTTTGGATATACTGAATATATTAAGAAGTATTTGGTTCATACCACAGAACTTGGGGAAATCTACTTAGAGCAAAAAAATTCTAGAAGGTATTAAGAAATTTGGGCAATTAAATATCATCCTCCTTTATAATTAAAATGCCATGTAGGAAACTCAAAATATTCCCAAAGAATAGGCTATATTTTTATATTTAGTTTTAAAATATGACCTAGGAACATATTAATGTTTGGCTGTTATGTCTGTCACTTTCAACTCCAGAGCTTGTATTCTTGTATTAAAGAAAGTGAAGCTAGTTAGGTTAAAGTTTGGATATCAAGAAAATAAAACCCAACAAGAATATTTAATAAAATATATTCCTGAATAAATTTATATTTTAACAAGCCTGATGCTCTGGCAATTAAGAGCAGAGTTAAGGTTTCCAAACTCAATAAGAACTTGATGTCATAAGAGATGGTTTCCCTGGCTGAAGAGCTCTCCTTAGTGTAAACACTTACAGAGCAGCAAAGCAGAATTATTCTATCTTCTTTGACTTAAAATGGCAGAAGACAGGTGTGATTTGGAGTCAAGATCTGGAGTGGGATCCTGCCTGTATGGCTCTGGGAAAACCATTCAGCATCATCTCATCTAAGTTCTTCATCTGTAAAACGGATATAATTTTATCTGATAACCTAGTTACAAGGCTGTAGGGAAGGTCAATTACGATGATGTACGTTAATGCTACTTTGAAGCCACAAAGAGCAATTAACCAGGCTTTCTCAGCCTTGGCGTGGTGGACATTTTGGGCTGAATAATCTTCTGCGGGAGGTGGGGGTACTATATGGTACAGTGTAGGATATTTAGAAGCATCCCTGGCCTCTACCCACTACATCCCAGTGGCTCCTGCCAGTTGTAAACTATTATTTTTTCCCTTTTTCTCTTTCCCCCATTATCTTGTCTAGTATTGGCTATATTGTCATATATATATTTGTCATTAATGCTTACCCATAAGACCTAGACTACAATTATTCTGCCATTTGTCTAAGTTTTCCTGATTCCCTCAAACATTTTAAGGTGATCACAGCTCAGCAGTATATAAGTTTAAATGTTGTCACTTCTTTAGCCAGAATATACTATGTATATTCCCTTATAAATAGTACCTTTTACCATGGAGGTAAATGATTTCAAGTACTTTGTTAATTTCTAAAGCAACTCAGACTCACTAAGTAAAAGTTACTATGTGAGAAATGGGTTAACTCTATTCTTTGAATAGCTACAGTGAAGATGTAAAATAAGAAAACACTTTGATAGGAACCAGCAAAATATCCTATTACATAATATCCTCTATTACAAAATATCCTACAGTGTACCATATAAAATGGCCACTAAGATTTGTATAATTTATATTTGTGTATCCTGGTTCCTAGCCACTGAAGATGCTCAATAATGGTCTGTTCACTTATTTAATAAACACATATTTATTAAACACTATATTTAATATGTGAAGCATTGAACCAGCTACTGCTGATACAATCAATAATAATCAATGAAGACATATTCTCTATTCTCACAGTTTTCAGTTTAGTAGAGGAGAAAAGAACAATTAGGTATTCAACTACAATACAAACACTATGTTAAAAGCACAACCACAGGCAAAATACAGAGTGCTAAAGAATTCAACCAAATAACATGCATAAACGTGTGTGAAAAATATTGTGTACTTCCTTATCAAAATTTTGGGTAAAAAGGTAGAGGAAAACCTAAAGCACAGGGATAAATAAATGATAATTTTGATAATATATATTAATCAGTATTGAAGAAAAATATGCCATTTAAGTTTTGTTAAAAAATGGTAACTAATATTCATTCATGAAATGATTACAAGAAATAAGGGCAGTTTATCAATTTGAGACACTAAAATACCATGTGTGAAACAGGTATAAAAACATCTAATTTGTGAGATTTTTCCGATACTACACAAGAACTTGAATTGACCATTTATTCTACCCAATTCTTTGTCAAGATACTCTGCAAAACAGCAAATCTCATTTAGTTTTACACTGTTTTGTTTTCTAGGTTAAGGCGAAATGGTATTTAGCAACTCTCTTCTCTCATCTTCATAATCACTTGCTACCAACAGAAAGAGGCTGAGACAGAAAGCCTAGGGGGAGCCCAAAAAGCAGAGACCGAGGAACACATAACGCCAAAGACAACAAAAATTTTTAAATAGTTGTTTCCTCTTTCTGCTGGATGCAAAGAAGATCTGGATTTAACTCATGTGCTCACCTAAAAGATGAGAGGAAGGTGGTAGACTCCGGGTTGGTGTTTTCTTTTCTGTGAAAAGGTTTACTTTACCTTCTATTTTATTTTCATTATTGGAGATTTCAGGTATCTTTTCAAGCCCTCTTCAGTGTAAATGTGTATACAGTTTTCAATTTGTCTTCCTAATTACTGCATGCAAAGTATCTATTTTCATGTCTTATAAAAATTGGAGCAAGAAGTATTTTAAAAGTACCAGGGATCATTATTCTGGTCCCACAGTTATTAGACCAATTCAGGTTGTCTATGATACCTGATATGACGATCTCAGGGACATCCAGAATGTTGCCAAATGAAGCGGTTTTACGGTGGCCCGGTTTTGGCTTGGAATAGGCTGCAAAAACACATATATAGAGTATACATGCAAACAACTACAAATAGTAACACAGAAAACGATTAACTACAAAAACAGCATAATGTTCAAATAATTATGTTAATAACATTTCATGCAGAATGGCATGCAGAACTATCTAACTTTTCATCCATGCTTAGAATAGGCATGACTAAGGAGCAAACAACTACAAATATAAGATGTTTCACACACCGAAAAAAAATCCAAAAACAAAAAAACAGGACAGAGACAAACAAAGCTGCAGGGTAATGAGGAAGCTAAATTTCAAATGTGTTCATAGAAACAGTCTAAGTAAAGCCACTGATAAACAACAGGGTTAGGGAGATAAATGAGGGGTGGAAGAGAGGAGTTAAAATGAAATAGGCTGCCACATTTGTTTTAATTACACAAACACAGGAATATGTTCAAGTTAGATATTTCTTGAAGTGTGCTATAAAATAAAATTCAGTGGTTACAATGAAAATTACTGAATCAAAGTATGAAATGTATATGTTTTTGTAATTTAAATACTTATACATACTCACAGTAAACTGAATATTTACTATAGCTTCTAATGTTCAGGGTACATTCCTGCTAAATATGAAGGTTGTCAAAAGGCTGGAGTATGAACCTTTCAAGGTAAGACATTTCACCAAAAAACTTAAATATTGTAAAATTCAAAGGATGTACCACAGCACTTGTTCTACAGTTAGGCAGAAAGAACAGAGTAATTTCAATGGGTGTGGTTTTCCTTATCCTAGTGAAATATTTCTGTAAAGAAAATTATAAACCAGAGCTTGACTAGAAACATGACACTAGCAAAGACATAAATTGTTATAACACTACTTTCTGTTTTAAGGTAGCAATCAGTATTTGGAGTTCTACCTTGAATAATACCTCTGAAGTGAAAAGTTTCCCCAAAGTACGAGGGTATGTCCTTGTGAGCAGGGTTTACCTGACACTACACTGAAACAACCTCATTCCACAGAAATACTTGTGACTCATGGAGACCAAGAGGGCTTATCAGTGGCTGGTGACCTCCATTCAAATTGATTGTTTCTGAAGACCCATCTGTGGCCAGACACTGCTAATTCTCTGCCAATCTCTACCTTTTTTTCTTAGCAACAGAACTCTGACTTTACTTAGGACAGCACAGTTCCCAGATAAAAGACCACAGATCATTCCTTCCCCTCAGTGCTATGTGGAACCATCTGATCACATCACTTTGGCTAGTGACATGGAAGTTGTTAGAAGGGATTCCTGGGAAAGCTCCTTCAAAGAGCTTGGATGACCTTTGGCCCTTCCCCTATTTCCTATTTCCTGCTGCCTGGAATGCAGAAGTGATGATGAACTATAACAGCCATTCTGGACTACATGGTAACCTTGAGGATGAAAGCTGAACAAGAGGAATTGTGGCACACAGACAGAAAGAGACCAGTTGCCTGATGATCGTAGAACCTACCTCCAGACTTGTCAATGTGTGGAAAATAAAGCTTATGTATTCTAGACACTGTTATTCTGGATATTCTGTTACATCTAATGGATTCTAATGCTAGCTGATGAAATCAGTAACCATGATTAGTGGAAGACAAGTATAGTATGATGGTTCCTCTGAACAACTTCTCTCTGAAAAGAGCGCCACATACAATGAGAATATTCTATTAAAAAAAAAAGAAGACCTAAAAAAAAACTTGGTTAGATAAGTTAAAAAATACATATGCAAATACACATGAACATATACACATATATAGTTAAAAGACTAGAGGTAAATACACAAAAATGTTAAGTGTTTATCTCTGAGTGGAATAATTATGTAAGTTTTTTTGGTTTGTTTACATTTCCACATTTTGCACAACAGAAATGTGTTTACTTTTATAATCAACTCCCTTCCACCCCTGGGGAGAAAAAAACAAACAAAAAAAACCCCCAAATTAAACCAGCAGAAACCTGGTTAGAAAAGAAGGTTGTCAGTTCATTTAGATAACAAAACATGTAATTGTTTTTGTGCTGACCAGTTAGTTCTTCCATTATTAGTAATTTTAAAAACTGACAAAATGGAACTTAAGTGTTAGCTTTTTCGGAATCCAGTAAAGTAAAATTATCTTTATTTTACAGTTAAAAGAATTAACTACAACCAGCTTAGCTACTTTTGCCACTAGGAGGAAGGAAAACCAGACAGTATGGCCAAATCACATTTGGATCTGGAGTCTATTTTTCCATTCACCTCAAAACAAAATACTTGGTATTATTTGAGTTCAGCATAAAAATCTAGTGGAATCACTCAGAATCTTCCAAAACATTCTGGTTTTGGCAAATTTCAATTTCTCATTTAGACTTTCTGCTCATGTTCCAGCAGAAAGAATTACATTTGAAAAATCTGTTATCAGAAGGTATATTTTATAATCCAAATAATTTTATAAGTCATAGCTCCCTTATTTGGAATTTGAGATAAATGCATAAATTACTGCTAGAAGCTTAGAAAGTATATTGTAAATCTACTTCCTGCTTTTATAAAACATGACACAAAAAACCCTGACATCCTCACTGAAACAACTGAAATTGCCACACCCGAAAGGACTATATTATTTTTGCTCCTCTTCAGACTTGTAGTTCCTTTTTACCTGTGGTTGCAGCAATCCTAGCTTCTATTTCAGACATGTCAGCACTCATCCTCTTGCCCTCAGAGGCGGGGGGCAGGCTCTCCACACTGCTCCCACGGGAGGCTGCCAAGCTTAGACGTCCAGACTCACTCTGTTAAAATTAGAGGTCAATCTGAATTACTGAAATGCTTTAGATTTAGAAGTCCTGGGAAATCTAGAAAAAGGAAGATGCCAAGTGGGATTCTTATTTATGCATCCTGTTCTGCTCTGAAACAAGAGGGAAGTTTACAGGGATAGGGAGGTACAAGGGTAAGGGAGGGTAAGCTGCAGATACTACCTTTATGAAAGAGCAGTCACTAGAGTCGGGAATTAAATGCCCCAATTATTAGTAAACTTAAATGCCTCAGGCAAGATGAAAAAAAAAGTCATTCAAAATATTTTTAAACCAACAGTGGCAAAAATACAACAAATTTGAGCAGCATGAAATGACAGATTTAGGACAACTCCTTTTACTGGGAAGTGTAGCCAAAATTTATCCATTTTATATTTTTAACCATCAACCATTAAAGTTAGGAAACATCTTAACGAGGGAGATACAGTGTTGGCAAAGGCAATGATCATTAGAAGGGAAAACACTTTGAATGGAAATAAAATGGTAGGAGAATATCATTATATGTCTCTATTCTTAAGCTCATCTGTTAGGTTCAGGAAGAAGATTCGGAATTTATATAATAAAAGATGGCAAATAATTTCAGTTAGTATAACGTTATGACTACTGGGAAGGTTACCATACAGTTTTACTTCTAATAACATAACAAACCTGTTGCTTTGCCTGATTTTTCAACAACTTTGATTCTAAGCGTTTAATAGTGTCATTTGTGGCAGGAACTTGCTCCATATTAGTGTCACTTTTATTACTAGTATTTGTAGAAGCGATGTCCATGAATGAGCCTAGGAAAGCAGAAACATTTATGACTACAGGTTGGGAACAATACAAATGCTTGATTCAACATGTAACTTAAATTTTCTAACCTGGCAAGACATGAATAGAAGTAAGACTATTCAAGCTAATGAAGATACCCAAACAAACCTATTTTAAATGAAACCTAAGAATGGCAAAAAAGGAACCAAAATGCCTAGTCTTCTAACAGCCAAGAATAACTTAAGGTTTTTAGCCTGAGCAAAGGAGAACTGAGGGCTATAAAGATAGGGAAGAACACAGACGTGAGTTTGAAGGAAGTATCAGGAACTCAGTTTGAAAAATGTCAAGTTTGAGATCCTATTACATATTAAACAAGTAGTTGGATATATGAGCATAGAGTTTAGGCATGAGACAAAGAAAAACATCAACAAAGAGATAATACATAAATCCATGATATTGATGAGGTTACCAAGGAAATGGGCATAGACAAATAAGTGAAGAGGCCAAATGACTGAGCTTTGGGCATTCCAACATTTATAGGTGGGGAGATGAGAAATAACCAGTAAAGCAAATTCAGAACAAATGGCCAGAGATATAAGATAAAATCCAGGCTGGGTGGTGTCCTGAAGACGAAATGAAGAAAGTGTGGTAAGAAGGAGAGAATAATGAAATATGTCAAATGCTACTGAGTCAAATAAGATGAAAAGTAAAACTCATTCATTAGATTTAGTAATGTAGAAATAACTGATGACCTTGACAAGAACAATTCTGGAAAAGCAGTATAAGTCTGAATGAAGTTGGCACAAGAGAAAATGGGAAGAGAAAAACCAGAGAACGTAAACACAAACTATATGTGCTCTGGGAATGATCACAGTAAAAAGACTAAAACTGATGATTCAAGAGAGAGGAAAGAATTGCTGGGAAGAACAGATGGGATAGAATGCACAGGTAGAAAGGTTTGTCTTTGGCTGGAAGCATGGACAGTTCAGCTATAGTAACACAACGAAATGGAGTAGATGGCACACATACAGGTGGGTGGATGTAGTGGGGGAGCTTGCAGAAGCTGTCTTCTGATTACGCCAGCTTTCTCAGAGAAACAGCAAAGTGAGGAGAGAGTGAGGAGTGGAGAGGAACTGTTTAAAGTTTGAGGAGAGAGGGTAAAGTATAAAATTAAGTCATCTAGGACAGAGGAGAGGGACTAAAATACAGTACAACTGCCCAGCAGCACTCAATACGCATTTGACACATGAGCTGTCTCCTGCCACATTCAGCTGCACTGGTACAGGCAAGGAGTGAGCTGAGTGTTGAATTTAATAAGGCTTGTGGTTTAGCCATGCAAGCTTGAGAGAAGAGCCAGAAAGCCGAGGATTACTCCCAAAGGAATTATAATAGTTGACTGGAATTAAGTGGAGAGAGGAAGAAAGGACCTAAGAGGACTGTGGGTCAGTGAAAAGGTGGAAGGATCAAAGGACTGAAGGTCATGATATGGTAATGAGAGGGTATGGAGAAGCAAATGATAGAATTCTAAAGAAGTTCACTTTAAAATTCAGAGGAACTCAGAAGATTTTCAGTAAAATTGGAATTTGAGAATAACAAGCCCAACTGTAAATCAGTTTAAAATAGAAAGTATTCTTAAATAGGGAAAACAGACCAGCAAAAATATTTGTCACTAAAAATAATATCTTAAGTACAGGGTAAATATATGTGTATATATGCACACACATCTTTTAGTTTTAATCAAATTAATAATGAAATGCATATATATGAAAATATATATAATATTTTATTATATAGAAAATATAATAAAAATTGAGAAGTACAATTTTTTACAGTTACAATATTATTTCTACTATCTTTTTTGTTGTTGGCAGCTGGCTGGTAAGGAGATCCAAATCTACTGTCATTTTTGATGACCACAAACTACATATCTCACTACTACTTCATACTTTAGAAAACTGAGGAACTTTTATCTAAAACACAGCTTCTTAAATAAGACTCTGTTGAAGAAAACCAAAAAGTAGGAGGTTCATGATGAAGACATGTTATATCCACTTACAATAATTTCTAGTACTATTTGATCTAACAGTATCCATGTAAAAACTATTTCTCAACTTAAGAATGATATTCACAGTAATACAATATCCAATCTTTTTATATATAATTATGCAAGAATTCCAAGACTTGGGGGCAGGTCTTCAATAATTCTTCAATCTGAGTACCTTCAGGAAGAATGATGCGCCTGGAAACTTAAAGTGCAGTCAATCATATGAAATGAAGGGATTAAAATGCAAATAGGGACATCATTCATTGCTTCTTGATTATAATTTCATGGGAATAGAGACCCCCCCCAATCAGGTTATTACTCTTTTCATCTATATATTTACCTGTACTAGTGGCAGAGTTGCTCTGTCCTTCATCTGAATACTGACAAGGATACTGTAATGGCTCATCTGCTCCTGGAAAGTACTATATAAAAAAAGTAAACACAATTTGAAATTTCTTTAACACAAATTAAATCCTGTTATAATTAACTTGAAAGGTACATCTGAATGATATCCTTATTGTGGGATTTGACTGTAGCAAAGATGCTGCTGTATTTTCCCTAAGGTATATACTGAATTTGCAGATGCCTACATGTTTTTGATTTTACAAAGACAATAATGAGCTCTATTTTAAATTTCAGCTGTGATCAATGCCATGCACCTACCTAAGCATCTAATTTACATGAAGTCTAGATAGTCTTGAAGAACACACCAACTATTTCTCTAGAGGAACAGATAAAATAGAAGAGCATCATTCCCCATAATTATATAAAACACAATTAATTTATTATATGTTCTCATAGCAATGATGTAAACTTCCAAAACTGCTGTAATGATTGTTGGTTTAGTCTGACAAGTGAGATGGTATCCCACAGAATAAATGTTAGAACTAACACTTTCAATATCAAGAGGATAGACTATGGATGTTCTTCTATAAATCAGAGACATAATATTAAGCATTTGTTACACAAAAAAATGAAAATTTAGGGGGAAAGAAAGTATTACCATCAAAATAACAAAGCATGAATAAACACAATTACAATCTGAACGGTTTATATATCTCAAAAATTTAAGTTACCTGATTACAGAGACTAAGTTCTTTTCTTACACACACACCTTTACGGCCTAGAGTTCTATGTATAGCTGGTATCTAAATATGATGGTAAAGTTTAACCAGTTGCAGCTTGCCTAAGTTATTTTTAATAGACTGAGCAACCTAAACCTTTGGCCATTTAGGAAAACATTTAGTCTATACTTAAGGAGATTGTAAGATTCTCCTACTGAACAAATTGTTCTAAAATTCAGACACTTTTATAAGTATGTAAACTTTTAAAGCCAAGGTAGTACTTGACAGTTTTTGTTAGTGTACCAAAAACTAGAGGCCTGAAATATTTCAAATAGTTCTAAAAGCATTTGATTTAACTAGGGAAATTTGATAATCACTTAGAAAGGGTTCTTCTAAATTAAAATATTCTATAAATCCTAGAAGAAAGTTTAATTTTTTACTGGCTATGAAAACCTGAAAATATGCAACAAACACCCAAATAGTAAAAATCACTCAAATAAATGTCTGAGAATGCAGCTTCCCTACCCCTCAGCATAAATGACTGAACGCTTGATAAAGATCTGTATCAGGAAATTTAAAACTTAGTTTAGCATGTATTAGAGTCATAATATACCTAAGTCCTGTGAAGGGTTTAGAGATCATAATTCAGCTTCTCTCACATTACAGATGAGCCAACAGGATCAGAAACAAATATACCGATCCACTAACATAAGCAGGAGGGAAAAGCAAGTCCAGAAACCTTAGAAACCTAGTCTAGCCATCTTTACATTGTAAAGAACGACATCTATTTTTTCTAAAATAACATTTCCTCTTCTGTTTATATGAGTAATGAATGCCCATTTTAACTTGGAATATTAATATTAAATCCCCCTAAACCCAAAGCCCCTCAAAAGAAGGATTATACCCGCATCAAGTGAGTCATTATTTTCACAATTTCCTCCATTGAAGGGCGCTGAGAAGGATCTTTAGACCAACAACGAGTCATCAGGCTCTCAATGGGCTTAGGTAAATTTTTGATCAATGGTGGTCGAGTACCTAAAATTAAAAATTAAAGGAGGGGGGAAAGAATGTATTTACCCAAATAATGGTGAAAGCTTTTTACATGTATTTCTAAAGCAGGATTTATTTTATAGATCTTGTAATTTAAGATCTATATTTTAGAATAAGAAAAGTACTCTTTTGTCCTTTAGGTTAAAATTTATTCTATCTATGTATATTTTCATAAAGGGGAAAGCACACCTTTAAAAAAGTTAAATTAAAACTTTTATAATGCATTATGGTAATAGTAAGACTGAGAATAAACAATATTTGACTTGTTATAAACATTCTTTTAACAAATAATAATGATCTATTTATGTTTTATTAAGAAGACTAAAATCACTAGTGGCTTGAGGAAACCTTACTGTATTAGGCTCACTGACTTCCAAATGACCCTTTTGTAGGAGGTACACCTTTTGGCTGCTGTGAATCAATCATTTCATAAGCTGAAAACTGCCAATGTTTTGTAATTACCAAGCCAGTAATATTAGTAATGTCCCTACTTAAAGAAGGCCTATAAGAACATCTTTGTAATTTTATTAATTAATAAGTTAGTTCTTTTACTCCTTACATCACTGACATTTAATTGTTTACTGACAATAGAGAGAAAGCAAGCTGTCTTGGTCAATGCTCTAGCATTCTCTACAATGACATTAAAAATAGTAACATTAAAGGTAGTACAGGAAACTAGTAAAAACAGCTTGGATTACTCAGATGATGGTACTGTTTGACAAGTCTATACATGATCTAAATAGTTATGCAGACATCTATTTTTATCACTTGTGGAATAGTGTATAAAAACATAACAGAAAGTGATGCTAAAGTTAGGAAGGTTAAGTGATTTCCCTTCATGAAGAGTTTATTTTCCCAAAGCAAATGTGAAGTAACTTTATTAATGAAGAGGATGAATTCTAACATCATATGTGGTTAGAAACACCATTATTACAAGTACGTTAAAAAAAAAGGAGTGATACATTGAGTTCACAAGTCAATGACTTAAAAACATGGCACTTGAGTCAGAAAACTCTGGATTTGAATCCCAGCTCTACCACTTACTAATGTTGTGATCTTGGGCTTGAGACCTAGAGTTATTTAATCACTCTAGGTCTCAGTTTCCTAATCTGTGAAATGAGGCAACAGTACTCACAAGGATGGATGAGAATATAAAAAGAAAGGGTATGTGAAGCACTTTGTGTTTTGCCTTTATGAGCGTAAATAACAACTTTCATTATTATTCTTTGCTTTCTCTCCTCCGTGAGACCCTTGCTTCCTCAGAAGGCCTATAGCTCCCCAATCTTAACCATGTGAGACATTTTGTTTATATATTTATGTATTTAATTTTTCCACAGGTATTTCTGATGCTTCTTATCCCCAAGAGAGAGCAAACCTAGATAGTTGGCTCTGGCTGTATACTGATCACCTTTCACTAATCAATGGAGCCAGCAAATATTCTCAGCCTTGTGTGGAGGCCAGGACCACTCTCTGCCCTGCCCTGCCCAACTTTGGGGTGTGGGAGGGGTGGAGACTGATAACAGGAAAATAGTCTTAAGAAGTGTACATTTTAATGTTAGGTATAAATGGTCTTTGGGATAAGGGACAAGAATAGTCTTCCAAGTTGGAAATATAAAAAGGACATTAAAGAAAAATTTCTTTTTACAAACCATTATGAACAGCCCACATGATTCGGAAAGCTGGGCCACCAATCTCATCAAAAGGTTTCCGACGTGTTATCACTTCCCAAAGAATAATGCCCCAGCTGAAGACGTCACACTTTTCACTGTAATTGCTACCTGGAAAAAAGGCAGTATAATCTCAAGACTTTTTTTCTACATGACTTCAGAAACAACTGCTTTTATAAATTTTAAGAATGGGTATCTTGAACAAACACAAGAGTCAAAGCAAATGTAGAGAAGAGAAATTACTCTTTCTGAAGTACCTTAAGTCTTTTCTTTTCTTTTTTTTTTTCCCCTTTTTGTCTTTTTTCGTGTCCTGCAACGGATCGCAACCCTCAGTGTCGTGCCCGTACCGGACCAGGACCGGCAACGGGATCACAACCCTCGGTGCTGCGCCCGCACCTCGCTCAGCCAGTGAGCAGCTGGTCTGTATGTTGGATCCGAACCCTCGGCGGGAGCGCCGCCGCACTCCCAAGCGGCGCACTGTAGCAGTGCGCCACCGGGCCGGCCCTACCTTAAGTCTTTTCAACAAATACGTTTTTTTAATGAATTAATTATCAACAATACACTAAAAAATCCACTTTAGAAAGTCAGTTATTTTCTACCTTTTCATCAAGAGATCCAGGCCTTGTCTTTTATGTATGTAGACTGATACTTTCTCTGGGGCAGATTATGAAACATTTGTACATTCCTTTCTACAGTTTTTTAATCTTACATTTTCTTCCCCCAATCTCTGATGAATAGCACTACTCTGCTGTCAAAGTAGAAATTTCTAATTTAGTGTTATATATTTTTTCTCAATATATGGTGAGATAAAATTCTTAATCTGCAAGCCTATAAATAAGTTGTAAGTAATGAAAAGTATGGATAACAAATTTATAGTAAACAGATTATGCAGCAAAATTTATAGGACTACTAAAGTTGGTGGGTGAATTAGCATAACACATAGCCCCCCCAAAATTCTAAATCTAACCAAAAAAACCAACCCACTATAAAAATGAACAATTATTATACTGATACTTTATATACTAAGTAGTACACCGTAATGAAGCATTACAATGTTACAATCTAATTTGGGCTATAGGTGCTGCCAGGTAACATCCTTCAGAAATGAAGAAATCTATAGACAGCCTAATAGTCTGAGCTTTGTTGCTCTAGACAGTTAATGGTAACTATTACTTTTTTGTATAAACAAACCTTTTTGCTCTTCATACTATAGTAATAACCACGCCATTTTAACTCTCAGTAAATAACTTTAAAACAATACCAAGTATATGTGCTCTGTATATGAAACAGGAGGCATTGTTTAATTTTGTATAATTTCACATTTGCTTGCCCATTAACTTTTTAATTAAATTTTAGGGCAAAATTCAAGTGACTAGTTGCATAGCAATTCAAGTAACTAGTTGCATAGCAATATGTCTTTTTCTGGGTGGCTAAAAACAAACAAAAAAACTAAAAACTTTAAACTCACTGAAAATAGAAGAAATAAGCCATAACCAGAGTCTGATTATTGAATGCAGCTGAATTTTACGGCCATTCATACTTCCTAACATACAAATCACATCCCTTCAGTTCAACTTTTCTCATTTAAAAGATAATTAGATGTTTTTATACAGAAACCTAGTATATAGTTTATGGACTACTCTGTTAGAACTTTAGTGAGATATGGAGGTGTAAAAGAAAGTAAACATAAGCTTGCCCATTATCTGTAGTTCTTAGTATCATTTTTCTGCCCAATTACTTGTATTCTTTTCATGGCATACTCATTTTAAACTTTAGGACTGTCGATTTTTAACTGCTAGGAAACAATACAAAAGCACAGTTGTTTGTCATTATTCCTGGTATTTATGTTCTGTAAAGTCTCTGTGAATACTAAATTGGAAAACACGGAATCATTGCTCCTAGGAGAAATAGAGGGTTAGGATTTCTGTGTGCATTTGGTCACAACATTTTTGTCAACTGATCAATACATAACCTTGTTTCATGTGTGTTTCTATTTAAAGACATCTTATTTCATATACATTGTTGATTAACATTAAACTCATGGCTAGTAGCACTAGCCTTAATGAAAATTATCTAACACGTATTTTCTCAGTAAGACAAATAACAGCATTCTTGTACTCAGGCAGCACTATGTTTGGGGGGCATTTTAAACAGCAAAATCAAACAAAAATCAACAAAATGGGAAAAAACATGGTTCTAAATAGACTAGAAAAAGGACACCTGTTTACAGTATGAGACTTGAAACAAGAAGATAGAGGATGGCCTCATTTGACCTCAGCAGAGAATCCATGGTAGGTGACTCAAAATTTGCATTGCTCTGTGCATGTGCAGTGTCTGTGAATAACTGTGAAAGCACTATGAGTACTGATTTTGGGTTACAAATAAAGTTTAGCAAGTAGACAATTTTGCAATTATGGAATCTGGGAATAATGAGGACTGACTGTACATTTGCTTGAACCTGCATAGAAGATGCCAGACAATTTAAACCTTGCTATGATTTAGGATCTAAGCCTATATTTATTTAACACTTCCTCAGAGTTCAGTATATACCTCATAATTATGTACTATGCAGAAATAAAATCATAGAAATGGGGAAAATCTATAAGCACATATTGGATTGACATGCTTTTGCCACTTTACCTTCAAAAACTTCAGGTGCCATCCAAGCAGCACTCCCCTTGTTATTGGTCATGTGTGTCTGAATGTCACAGGCTGTACCAAAATCACAGATTTTTAGAACTGTCCCCCCTGCAACCAGGAGTAAGCTGTTAAAAGAAAAAAAAAATTTAAAGTAACAAGGCCAAAATTTGATTCTACAATAAGAGAAGGTACATTTATGGAAATGGAAAGGGTTAAGCAAAATGAGTAGTTCCTTATTCAACTCCTATGAAATATAACAGCCTAATTGTTAAGAATATCAGCAAAAATTAACTGACTATAAACTAGCTCTCTTAGGAGACTGCTAGACTCACATTTTGATGTCTCCTTCTTTAGCTCCATAATCTTTACTGAACATACTTCTCTCTGGCCAAAATATCAGTGGGTCAAAATTATAGTATCATAAAATAGAAGTTTAGCTATAAAAAATAAATTATAATAACATAAAATTAAAAATAAAGTAAAACAAACCAATACAGAAGGAAAGAATGGTCCTTATTATAATGTCTTTATTTTAAAGATACTTCTAAAAATGTTCAATTCCAAAACCATTTTTGTGTTTAGAATATGTATGTGTAGGAGGAGTACAAAATCTATCATGGTTAAAATGACAATGAAAGATATTCAGAAAATTTTCTGAACTTAATATTCTGACTTTCCTAGGTGCTATATTACCCAACTACAATCACCAAGTAGCTTACTCTTACTTAGAAGGTTTTGGTTTTGATAACAAACAGAAGTAGAGACGGATAATTTACATAATCACATGTACTAATATTCAACAGTAGTACATGGGGATTCATTTTAATTAAATATTTTATAAACTTTTGGTATATAATTTTGTCCTTAAACATTAACTGGAGAGATTTATTTTAGAAAATTAGTTATCTTTTTAGTCCAGTGTGAGTAAGATAAGCCAGGTAAACTACTACACACAACTCCATGCTACCAAAAATACTTCCACAGTAATTCAAGTGAAAAGAATGCTAGATCCATTTTATCTCTGTAAGTACATCAACAAAAAATTTTTGCCCCACCTCACTGTTCTTGTTCAAACTCTTATTACTCTCTACCCAAGACAATTTTTAGAACTCTGCAACTGGTTTCCTTGTTTCATCCTGATATATTCAAGATATCAAAAATTTCTTTCTAATGATTTTTATATTAGTACTCTTTTACTTGTAAGACTTCAATAGTTCACTAGCCCTGAACATGACATTCAGGGCTCACTGAAATCTGAACCTAAATGATCTTTGTAGGGCTTATTTTCACATAGTTAAGACTAAAAGCATTTTAATTTCTGATATACATGTGAATGAACTTGCAAAAGATAAAACAGAGGCACAAGCACAACTTGATACTATATAACACCTCACCAAACCATCAGGTGCCTCCCGTATGTGCCATTCTGAGGAACTCTTCCTGACCTCAGAATATAGGTTTTTCACTGACAATAAGACACAGCGGGTGAGTATGTATATTCAATTGCATATGAAATCATATCCATTCCAAAAAAAATTTTTTTTCCCCAGTGCCTTCTGAAAAATCAATTCTAATTCTAATACTATACTAGGTGCCCCAAAGACAATCTCCAGTTCTATAGGATTAATTCTACCGTGGAGATGGCCAAGAGGAATGAATGACACAGACCAGATCTCTTGTAAATATGTTTTGGTATTTACTAACAAAAGGAGAATCCCTACCATCAAATTATTTTACTAGGATACGTCTGATCTAACTAAGTTAATTAAATAAACTTAAAATTTATAGGGTATGGCTGGATGGAGATGGGAAATATTTGCTTAAGTTGTATAATTAATGCAATATAAAAGATGTTAGAAAATGGCAATAACTTCCTTTTGTAAGATATTTCTCCATATATTGTTCAATAACTAGTCACTTATTCCAAAGACAAAACACTAATGCAGAAGAAAACAGACACACTTGGTTGGGTATTGCATTCAATGGTTTCAGGTTCCTCCAGGAAAAGAATTCTTTGTCTGTGCCTGATACTTGCTTCCTTTGAATCATTAGTCAATTTATTGCTGGATAAGAGCTATGATTCTCATGAGTTTGCTTAAATTATTCAACTCTGTGTTAATACAGAGGGGAAAGGAGAACTGAATAACCATAACCAAGGAAAAAGGCTAAGTGATTTCTTCCTCATTAGCCAAGGCAGATAGCTAGGATAACAGCCTTGGGAGTCAAGTTAAGAAAATAAAAATGTCATGAATCTAGAGCTTACATATTATTTTACCAGGGACCCAGGGAAGTAGAAATCAGTTTAAGCCTGGGAATAGAAATAATGTACACTAGAAAGAACAGAAATTCCAAGAGTGGTAATCTATGTAGAATATACCAGATTAGACATAAGAATGTCATGTTACATCCAGAAGTGATGCTTTAATGCTTTAAACCAGTATCAAAAGAAGAGAATAATTTAAGACTATACTTGTGACTGATTTCCTAGAGGGAACCTCTTACCTGAAGACTGATGTGGTAAGGGGGGGTAGGGGAGGGGAGAGAATATGTAGGGACTTTTTCACTCTGTCACAAGTGGATAAAGAAGAAAAAATTAGAAAGAAATGTTTTCTTTAATTGAACACATATATAAACAAAAAATCCCTGAAAGCTGTCTCTTAAAGTAGTTATCTAAGAAAAATTTTAAGTCCTTTCAAAGTCCCAGGACTTTCATTACAGAGAAATCCAGAATATTTTCAGTTTTTACCCAGATGCCAGAAACGCCCTTCTGCTTTCCACTGAAAGAGCAAGCTATAATCACTTTGCAAATTTTAAGGAATAAAAAATGTAAAAATCTCACTAAAACAACATTCTAAAATGCAAGCTTAGATAAATGACCAAATGGTGAAGGTGAGTTAAAGATAAACATTCCTGAGTAAGACAAAAGGGAAGGGAACAAAGAAACTCATGTGCAATACTTGGCTTGAATTAGGGAGTGAATAAGGGGTGGCGAGGAGGGGAGAGAAAGGAGTGTCACATTACTAGAACTTACTTTGGTGGTTTCAGGTCCCTGTGAATTAGAGCTTTGGGTTGCATGCTATGAAGATAAGCCACTCCTTGGGAACACTGTAAACACCAACTCATTGCATGGGCAGCAGTGTAGTATGGCAATGGTTCAGCACCATGCAGCACTGCAAAAGAAAGGCACAAACTAAAAAGAACTTTATTGCATATAACAAAAGACACAATGTGAATGCAAGCTCTATCAGAACACGTGACTGGGTATTTTTCCATATATACTCCCATCAGTCTTGCTTTTAATTCCTTTCTAAGTAAGAAAGATAGCTTTGAGTAGATAGCTGTCACATAAGTATCTAACATTTAATAGTACCTCTATTAAATGCTATTCATACATTCAAGTGAAATTAATATATGTTAGCATACTTTTTCAAATTGATCAAGTCTTTCACACAGTAATATAAATTATAAGCAGTCTTATGACATACTACCATATGAGAGATGCAGAGAAATAGTACAGAAAGAAACAAAATAATGAGTACCAAGATGTTTACAACTGTCCTTCTATAACAGCTAAAAACTAGAAGTAGTTCAACCAAATAAAACAATGGATTAGATATCCATTAACAATGATAAACACATGGGCAAGAAAAATAAGTAAAAAGTTTACATAAAATAATGGCAATTAAAAAGTAAAACCCAACTGTTTATTTTATATAACTGGTACTACAAGAGACAATACATATATGTATATATGGTTGGTATTTTTAGGGTGAAAACTCTGTTCTACAAAGGTAACTAAATGATACACAGTTTTCTTTCATTGTTATAATTAAAATGTTCTGTGAAGTGCATTTTCACAATTTATTTTTTGAAAAGACAGCAAAATAAAGCAGAGTGAAATGGAAGTATGGTTAAAGAGTTCTAAATGAGGAGGCTCAAAGGAAAGAGAGGGCAAAAAGAAAAAAAATTAAAGTCTGAAGATATTAAAAATCTATTTAACAAGCAAATTTTACTTTGCTTAAATGCTGTTAACAAAATGAAAAGTACCACCAATAAAAATTTATAGACCTCTAAATTTCAAAGTTATGTTGTAGCAAATTTCTTATCTTTTCATTTTTAAAAAAACCCTGCTTTTGGGACTCTGATGGTAAATTGTAAAGAACATTAAATAACTTACAGTTTATATTAAAAGTTTTCAAATTATTTTAATCTACTAGATAAAGACAGGTCTAATGACACTCACCATTATATAAAGAGCCCCCTTCAGCATATTCCATCACAAGACACACCTAAAGGAAACATATGCCAGAAGAATTAACCACGGAGCTATAGCATGTTAGGGCCCTTGAGAGATAACTTAATTCAACACCTCGATTTTGTAAGTGCATTAAAAGTCATTCTTTTGGTCTCTACAATGTGAATGACACTGGAGGGAAAAAAAAAAAAAAAGGTATCTACGGCCTAGGACCTTGTCTTCTAGGCGCTCATCAAGAGCAGAGATGTATATAAAAAACATACTCACAAGATCGTGTGGGAACTTTCTCCAGTGCTACTAAGTAGGTACCGTCACAGGATATCAAAAACCTCATAAAAAGAAGGGGTTATTGGATAAGACCACCTAAAACAACTCCTCCAATATACTTTTTTGCTAAAAGACTAGAGACAAATTAAGAGCATAAAGTACAACTGTTTTTATAGAAATACATCTAAGATAATAGATCAAAACAGCTTCATAAACTATACACCTGCGCACATCTGCTATGTCATTTCTCATAAGACAGGTGACGATGAAAAAGTGACAAACTTACTGGATTCAAGCAGGCTCCATATAGCTTTACAATATTAGGATGGTTCACACGGGATAACTGCCGAAGCTGTAACAAATTAAGGTTTCTTTTAAAAAGTGATAACTTTTAAGGTACTGATTTCATAGCATTATCAAAATCTTATGGTGGTAGAAAAGATTTGTTTAAATCATTCAATAATCACTATTTACTATACATAGGCAGGCACTGTGGTCATAGGCACTGGAAATACCAAGTCTCTGACCAGAGTGGCACAGAATCCCTGTCCTCCAGTTCACACAGTTTAGTTAGGGAGATAGACATGTAAACAAAGCAATGTGCAAAATGCTATAACGAGAGTTATGAACAAGGCATGATGAGTACACAGATTAAGAAGAAATTAACTCCACCAAGTAATGTTAGGACATCATCCCAGAGATGGCATTAAACTGAGTTATCCACGCCAGAAGAAGCCATGTTGCTGTTGTCATCATCACACCTTAGCTATGGGTGAATAGTCTAGTTACTATGAGTGGGATCCTGATGGGCACTTTATAGATATAGTATAATTATCACAACACTGCAAGGTAAGTATTATGCTTTCCATTTTAAGGAAGGAGATCTTAAAGTTAAAGCTCAGAGAGGGTTAAATGAGCTGCTAATCATCCTACAGTTAGAAAGTGGTACAGCTAGGTTTTGAACTTTGATCTATCTGACTTAAAATGTGCACTCTTCCTGTATACTTGCCTCCATTCCATTTCCCATCTCTTGAATTAATTCCTTCCTCTCCATTCCCACTGCTATTGCCTTAGTAATTCCAACCTGAACCACTGCAGTAATTACTATAGCCTTCTCATAGCTGGTCTCCCTACTTTCCAGTCTTTTTTTTTTTTTCCTTTTTGTCTTTTTTCTTGACCGGCAACGGGATCGCAACCCTCGGTGTTGCTCCCGCACCTCACTCAGCCAGTGAGCAGCTGGTCTGTATGTGGGATCCGAACCCTCGGCGGGAGCGCCACCACACTCCCAAGCGGTGCACTGTAGCAGTGCGCCACCGGGCCGGCCCTACTTTCCAGTCTTAAGCTTCCCTAACCCAATAATTCAAACTGAGGTCAGTGAGGAGTTTGGCTGTACTCATTTCCCTTGTTCTATATCTTAAACTTCTGTTAACGTGTCCCTCCTGCCCCGCCAAACTGCTTCTTGCACTCTTTCTTCTCTCTTTTCTGTCCTTTCCCCTCTCTTCCCCCTCTCCTCAATTACTGACATTATACTGCTGGCTCATATTAAGTCCACTAAAATCTCTAAACATTTTTACTGTATGCTACTAGAAAGCTTTATCTCTCTACAGGCAACATTTGTGAATTTCTGGTCCTAACAGAAGAATTAATATCACTATTTATTGTATTCATTTATTATATATTATAAATATATACTTACATTTCATCTTGCTAAGATTCAGCCCTGAGCTTCAGGTAACAGATTATTTGAGCATTTATTCCTGCTCCCTAAATCCCCCTAAATCAGTAAAAGTTTTTTTCTTTTAAGGAATAAACTCAGAAGAGAATATGAAATAAGAAAATAGCACTCGTTTTTGGAAGTTGTAAAGAAACTGACAGCAATAACTGACACAGCAGACCTTAAAGAGATGAATCGTAAACTGGCAATGAGAAAAACGGAGAAGAAACCAGAAAAAAACCTCCAAAAGATTGGGGAGTCATGGTAGTACCTGACACCTATAAAAATGAGTAAATAGAAGGAAGGGAGGGGGGATTAGCTGAAAGTTACTCCAAAAGTTCCTTCGCTGACTTCAAATAGCTTAACAAGTGCCTCTTATCATCTCATCAGAAGACTAGAGGTGGATTCTTTAGAGAAGGTATAATAAACAGCATCTGGATTGGGGGACATCAAACACAAATGAAAGGACGAGCTCAAAGCAGTTGTCTACGGGGAGGAGAAAAATAGATGGGAGGGGATATAAAGGATTACAGTTTTTTAAACTAAGAATTCTTGGAGAATCATTTGACTATATTACATGCACATATAATCTTGATTAAAATTTTTTTTCTCCAATCTATTATGATTTTTCTGACTCTTGATTCCTAGCATTTAATACATATATTTCACCCAGCTTTGTGAAACTGCCAATACAACAGTATATGATCAATGACTTTATTTAAGTCATAAAGAAAATCACGAATAAGGTAAGGCTGGGGCCAGACTCCTGGAGTATGCTACTATAGATTGTTTATCTTCATGATGACATCAAACCATTCATCAGCATTTCTCAACTCATTCAACCAATTACAAATCACTTCATCATATCACAATTAAGTTCTCATTTCTCTATGTTATATATTTAAAAAGATAATATATATATATATATATATATATATATATATTTTTTTTTTGTCTTTTGTCTTTTTCCGTGTCCGGCAACGGATCGCAACCCTCAGTGTTGCCCCCGTACCGGACTGGGGACCGGCAACGGGATTGCAACCCTCGGTGTTGCTCCCGCGCCTCGCTCAGCCAGTGAGCGGGAACCGGTCTGTATGTGGGATCCGAACCCTCGGGCGGGAGTGCCGCCGCGCTTCCCAAGCGGCGCACTTATCCAGTGCGCCACCGGGCCGGCCCCAAAAAAGATAAAATATATTTTGAAATTAGGATTAAATGAAAACAGAGATATAAATTTGAAAGTTTTATACGTGGAGGCCATTTATCCATTTTTTTTTTTTTGTCTTTTTCGTGACTGGTAAGGGGATCGCAACCCTTGGTGTGGTGTTGCCCACACCGCGCTCAGCCAGTGAGTGCACCGGCCATTCCTATATAGGATCCAAACCCGCGGCGGGAGCGTCGCTTTGCTCCCAGCGCCGCACTCTCCCGAGTGCGCCACGGGCTCGGCCCCCATTTATCCATTTTTAACCATGAGGCTAAAAAGTGATGAAAACGTTGATTTAGTTAAATACTGTGATCTAATACAAAATAACACAAAGTTAATAAAATAAGGAATAAATCTGATACTACAATAACCTCATGATTACTGAATTTTCCTTCATCATCCAATCTTTAAGAGAACAGTTATAGATTTTCAAGCTAAGTGAGAAAAACCAAATTTGAAATGATTTTTCCTTAAAATAATCTCATTTGAATTTCTAAAAACACTGTTAAAAATGAAAGCATAAAATTTCCCTTCTTAATTTTAGATAATGGGAGAGATATCATTTCTTTTCTATTTTAAAATAAAATACTATACCTTGAAATAGATCTAAATTCCAGGAATGAAATCATGTTTTAATTCAGGGATAAATTCTTTTTGAAGTTAAGTCTTTTTCTTCTGATTTTTAATCAGAATTAAGACCGTGAATGAAAAAATGTTTCTTTGGCACTACCTTTGATTCAACCAAATTGTTGATTATGCATGCATACAGAGAAATGACAACTGACAAAGAATCTATTCCATAATTCTAAATTCACAGAGTATCTTACATAAAGAACTACACAAGAGAAACAACATCTCAACTTACCTCTACAATAAAGGCTTTCCTCTCAGATTCACTTTCTATTTGTTTAATAGCAACATCTTTCGCTCTCCATTTAGCTTTGCAAACTACTCCAAAGGCTCCTCTTCCAACAACCTGAATTAAAAACAAAAAACAAAAAACCCACAAAAATCAGAAGCAAATAGATCCAGTCCAATATACAACACTGAAGCCAATCTTTAATACTTACTAAAGAACTTTTAAGAACTTATGAATATCTGGATTTGCCACTGAAAAAGTGTGAATTTTCAGTAAAGTGAGGAGATAACGAAATGAACATATCTTTATTTTTGAAAGTTCATCGTGTAGACAACCCCTTGCTCTGAAGTAAAACCAAAACAATAAACAAAAAAGACACATGGAGGCATAAAAAAGTAAAGCAATTTGTTAAATGTAGAAGAAAAATTAAAACAGGCAAAATGAATGAGAAGACAGAAGATGGTTTGGAAAAATAAAAAGAGCAAATAATAAATATAATAAATGTTTTAAGCTACCATATTTAAGAAATTAAAGATAGCTTTTGAATAATTCAGTAAGGGTAGAAGATGGAAGGGAAGGATAAAAATATAGATGATGAAAGACTGGCCATGGTGGAGGACAGACAAAACATAGTATTATCTATACATGGAATATGATTTGGCAGGAAAAAAGAAAACTATGATACATGTTACAACATAGATAAGCTTCAAATGCATCATGCCAGGAGAAAGAACCCAGACACTTGAGTCTACATATTGCATGATTCCATTGATATGACATGTCCAGAAAGGACGAATCTATAGAGATTCAAAGCAGACCAGTGGTCACCTGGGGCTGAGGGTGAACATTGGAATTAAATGGGTAGCAGGTATCCTGCCAAGGTGATGAAAATGTTTGAAAACTTATTTATGGTCATGGTGGACAATTTGGTAAATTTGCGAAAACACCTCGGAACTGAACACTTCAAATGGGTGAATTTTATATGTAAAATATATCAGATTAAAGTTGTTTTTTAAAAGTTATAAAAATAAAGATCAGCCATGTATCATTTTATTGTTGAGGCTAACTGATGGGTACCACATGCATTCACTGCTCTCTCATCCTGTTCTCCCTACTTTTATAAATGTTTGACATTTTCCATAATATAAAAATAACAATAGAACACAAAAACAAAAAATAGCTTTTGATATCAGTTAGAACAAAATCATTAGATTTAATTACTGTAAAGAACTTAGTTAAGTACCATCTACTCCAATCTCTCAACTTCCAAAGTATCTAAGCACTCTGTGTCAAGGCCTTTTCCTTAAGCAAAAAGTCTACCTCCCCGTACTACATTTGTATGTATTTCCTATGTAGTAGGCACTGAGCTAAGTGTTTTACATATTACCTCATCTACACAGTCCTAGGAGGCAGGCAGAATGCTATCTTCATTTTACAGATGAAGCACCTAGCTTTAAAGAAGTAAACCGACTTGCTCAAGACTATACAGCTAGCAAGTGATGAGTGCAGTTTGATGCCAGGCAGTCTAACACCAGAATGTTAGTAATACTAATTTGTAACATATATGAAGCCCTCTATATATCAGAAAGTAGCAGTTATGTCTTCCCTTGGAGGAACTTTCACTTTAAACAAACTTAACATAAACAAATCCCTGACATAAAACTCTTCTAAAAGAAAGCTGACTATAGCTAGGGTGACCAAATGATTTATTTACATTGGGATACTTCGTAGATTAAAAAGGGGGCACTAATAAAAACTATACCAGGGTAACAGTTGGAAACTGGGATGTACGACCACTCTAGCTATTGCTAAATTCCACTTCATAAATCACATAAAGTAGTATGAACATGCCTCAATATATAAAGCCACCCAAGTGTTTAACATTTATTGAATATTTACCATGTGCTAAGTAATATTCTATGTGCTTTTCATGCATTAACACATTTAATCCTTCTCTATTTTTAAAATTTTATCATTACACAACGTGAACATTTTTTTGTGGCCCTTCACCAATTTCTCCTTGACCCCCGCCTCCTGTTCCTCCTTCCCCACCTCCATTTTAAAGGTGAGTAAATGGAATCATATGGTTGCAACTTGCCTAAGATCACTGGGCCAGAAAGTATTCAGAGAGCTAGGATTTGAAGCTTCAAATAAGCAATGACCAACACACTCTATAGTCAGCTTCTGTCTGTTATCAGCTTAAAGGAAACTGGGCTTCTGTTGGGCAAAATGCCCCTGTCTATTACCTATTAATGCTGGGCAAGTTTGAGTTTGTTTTCTTTCTTTTTTTTTTTTTTTCCTTTTTGTCTTTTTTCGTGTCCGGCAATGGATCGCAACCCTCAATGTCGTGCCTGGACCGGGACCAGCAACGGAATCGCAACCCTCGGTGCTGCGCCCGCACCTCGCTCAGCCAGTGAGCGGGAACCGGTCTGTATGTGGGATCCGAACCCTCGGCGGGAGCGCCGCTGCGCTCCCAAGCGGCGCACTGTAGCAGTGCGCCACCGGGCCGGCCCTGAGTTTGTTTTCTCAACAGTAAAATGGAGATGCTTATGTTTTCCTTAGTGAATATCTATAGGATTCTTAAGTTAAAACCAGGCATTCCCTAAAATAACACAAAAGAACAGAAAGTGTTTGGAGTTGGGTATGAATCAGTATAAGGAGCTCATTTCTCTCACAATAAACTAAGATGAACAGCAAACAGATTCTAAAAAAATTTGAACTTTATGGCAACATTAGGCTAAGAAGACACGCATAAAGACTAGCCTACCTACTGATATTACTACTAATTGTAAAATAATGATTATGAAGTAATTTAATATATTCTTCAACCATGTATTTATAAATATATCAAAGCAATTGGTACTCAGCAGGATTCCCCTTGTTTCATTTTTCTATTCTGAGAAATGTCCATGCAGAGATTCCAAACATTATCTGTATTTGTGGATCATGTACTTGTCACAAAAATTCATATGACTATTTGTGATCCACAAGTGCCACCTAGTGATGAGATGATGGCTGATTCTGAGCTTTCAACTTAAAACCAGGGAACAAAGTGTGGGCAAATGAGGACATAAACTTTCACCCTTGTACTTGAGAAAGCCATTTCCCAGAAATCCTGAAATATAAAACAGGCACACTCATGTAAGATGAGGCCTCAACAAGCCTCCACTCTCATTACGGACATAAGATATTTAACATGCATGGTCAAACAACAGAATCTAGAATGATATAAAGAACAGCCAAGATGTCCATGGTTGTACACATAAACTGAAATATATGATAGAAATAATAATTGCTTGAAACTAGACCCATACCTTTCACCATACACTAAAGTCAACTCAAAATGGATTAAAGAATTAAATATACACCCTGAAACAATAAAACTTCTTAAAGAAAACATAGGAGAGACACTTCAGGAAATAGG